GGGGGGGAGGACTCGGCGGGGGGTGTGGGCGGGGGGGGGGGGGGGGGGGGGGGAAACGCATCTTTGACACGATCTGTTGGCAGAGCGGGGGGGGGCTGTTGGAGAAGGCAGCACCTGCGGACAGAAAGGCTCCCGCACCAACAGCGGGCGGGCAGCTGCTGCTGCTGAAACCCCTAATGCTAAAACTTTTTGTCCGGTACTCGCATATGAGCGCATGTGCGTGAAGTCTTGCGTTGTGCCTTATCTGTCGGTTTCTCAGCTCGCCGGCTCTTTGAGGCAAAACCGTTGCGGGATGCGTTTTGTAAGTGAATCGGGCCGAGGATTTGGTCAGCATTGTTATACTTTCTCATTTCCTACTCTTGCTCTGTGATTTCCTGTAAACCTTGACAGAGAATTTCAGATCTGTTCTCTCAGACTTGCCCTGAGGGCGTCAGGCTCTTTGCCTTTACTTAATATTTCCCTTTGAGTATTTGTCATGATGTTTTTTCGTCCCTGGCTGGTTTGTGGTGGGAATAACTTTCTTCTCTCCGTTTTTCCCCAGAAGACATGAAGGAAGTGAAGGAGCCAAGGCATCGCAAAGACAACAGGCGCCCAGACCTGGAGATTTACAAGCCTGGCCTCTCCCGACTGAGGAGCAAACTCGTGCCGCCAAAGCACGAGGCCTCAGAGAAGGAGAGGAGCAGAGCTGAGGAGGAGAGTGCCAGCGACAAGGGCCCTTCAGGAGGACGGGCTCCAGTCACGGAGGATTTCGGCAAAGGTGATGGCCCCAAGCAGAACGGTCCTTCTCAGGGAAATGAAGAGACAGAGACTAAAGGTGGTATTCAGAGCCAGGAGAACTTGTCCCAGCACCCCGCTCCAGATGAGTGGTGTCCCAAGACCACCAGGAGAACCAAGAAGCCGGACCAGCAGATCTACCAGCCTGGGAAACGCCTGCATTCAGCTGCTAAAGAACCGGCCCTGCGGTCAGCTACCGAGGAAGTCACCAGTAAGATGGAGCAGCTGAAAGTTGAGGGAGATGAGGCTGAGAAAGGCACTGGAAAAGACAACAACAGGAAAACCAAATCAAGCAAGGAGGATAGAGAGGGGAGCCAGGCAGGGGAAGGAGTGAAAGCCTCAAGGGGAGAAAAAGGAAGACGAATAGAGCGAAGCGACAGGATAAGGAGAACAAGTGACGAGGTGATGCAGGGGAAGCTGGGCTCTACCAAACGGTACTCCCGCTCTGACAAGCGGCGGAGCCGATACCGCACCTGCAGCACAAGCTCAGCCGGAAGCAACAACAGCGTAGATGGAGCACTGCTTGTGGATGGGGTGGAGAGGCAGCAGGAGCGTGCCAGAGAAAGAATACGTCCTAGGAAGCAGCTCTCTGCGTCCTCCACTGACTCCT